GGAGAGAGAGAGAGAGAGAGAGAGAGAGAGAGAGAGACAGAGAGAGTAGTGGATACCATTTAAATTCAATAAATAGTGAAGAATTAACTTAGTGACTCAGTACTAAACAGACATCTGAAAACCTGAATCTTTTGGGGACTAAAGAAGTGGCTCAGTGATGTTCTAGCACATGTGAGGTCCTGGGTTCCATTTATCAACTGCAGGAAGAATTCATTTTGGGTTTCATTAATTTTTGCACACTGAGACAGATGGCAATCTTATGAGTTTAGAAATGACATCTTAAAAAACCAAGGTGAAACTTACTGACGAGTTCTCTTTGCTACCACATCATCCAGCAGTTGTTCTGTGTTCAACTGGGCCTGAACCTAAAAGGAAATAAAAACAACAAAACCCCAGCAGATCTCAAAGAAAATAAATGGTACTGAATCTAAACGGAAATAAAAACAAGACCCCAGCTGATCTCATAGAAAAGAGAAGATTTAAGGGCAATCGGCATTGCTATTATAAATTGTCACTTTACAACCCAGAGTAAATAAACGTGAACATGAGCCCAGGAGGGGCCTGTTCCGTGCTAGCAACACACTCTGTTGGGGCCCCTGGATCAGAACAAGTGCAAACCCAAGTTTATTAGTAAATAATCAAGCTAAACTATTGTAAGATGCCACTATACAAGCAAGAAAAAGACGGGAAATAGAAAAAAACATCTATTAACAGAAAGAACTAACCTAATGTCTTGCTTTCACAATAATACATACTTCTCCCTCTCACCAACAGTCCAAGCCTATGAAAACCAAAGGATTCACTGGTAGTAAAGGAAGCACAACCAGTGCTTTTTAATACCTTCAGGCCTCTTCTGAAAAGAAAAGTTGCCTGACGAGTATCTTTCTGATGACTTAGTTTATTTCCACTCCTGGTAAAGTTAGCTGGAATGTTATTTCTGCAACAAAAAACATGTATGAGTAATCTCAGCCTCTTTGTTTTCAAATACCTTGAGAAAAAATAAGCAAAACAGTTAAACTCAAAAGCTTAAAATCTGATAAGCATGTAATAGAGACTCCAATTTGCTTTCTTATTTATAAAGTTGCTAAATTTAATTTACAAATATTTCCCTCTGCAATATACCACATAACAACTTGGTTTTGAATTAATCTATTTCCCAAATGTTCTATTCTCTAATATTTCAAAACTTTCTATCCCTAAATTTTGTTTCTTAAATTACAATTTACAAGATTAGTTCAAATCATACCTAGATACACTCATAGTCAATCTGAAAACACAAATAAAGACTTGTGGCTGGAGAGAGGGCTCAACAGTTAAGAGCACTGGCTGCTCTTTCTAAGGGACCTAGGTTTGATTCCCAGCACCCACACAGTGGCTCACAACCATTTGTAACTCCAGTTCCAGCAGAGCCAGCATGCTTTTCTGACCTCTGTGGGCACTGCAAACACGTGATTCATGGACATACATGGAGGTAAAACACCATACACACAGAACAAAAATAAACTTTTAAAAAAAAGGATTTGGAGCCTGGCAATGGTGAAGGCTGAGGCAGAGGATCTCTGTGAGTGCAAGACCAGCCTGGTCTACAAGAGCTAGTTCCAGGATAGCCTCCAAAGCCACAGAGAAACCCTGTCTCCAAAAAACCAAAAACCAAAAACCAACAAATAAAGCAATTTAAGAAATATCTATGCATCCTAGGCTGGTGGTATACTCCTGAATCCCAGCACCTGGAAGGCAGAGGCAGAAGGACAGTTTCATCTACATGGTTACAGGGCTACTCAACAAGACTATCTTAAAAAAAAAAAAAAAAAAAGAAAGAAAAAAAGAAAAGGAAAAACAAGCAAAACCCAGAAATATTTATGTAACTTTCTAGCTTGCCTATTCCCAAAATAAACCATATTATGCTTCAGTGTTTTAAGAGTCAAGGCTGAAAATAAATCAATTCACCTTTCATAATTTCCAATTCTGAATAACTATTATCCAAGTGCTAGGATTTTCACCAAAATGATTACTTTTACACATTTTGTTTTATATGTTAAGGGAGGTAAAGAAGTCCAGAGAGATAGCTCAGCAGGTAAAGGCACTGGCCACCAAGCCTGACAACCCAAGCTGGATCCTTGCAATCTACATGGGAGAAAGAATGAACTAGTGCCCTTGAGTTGTCCTTTGACCTCCTCATATGCATCATGGTACACATGTACACATACAAAATTAAAAAGTGGTACTTATTTTTGGGGGTGGTGGTCAAGACAGGGTTTCTCTGTGTGGCCCTGGCTGTCCTGGAACTCACTTTGTAGACCAGGCTGGCCTCAAACACATGGAGATCCACCTGCCTCTTCCTCCAGAGTGCAGGGATTAAAGGTACATGCCACCACCACCACCACCACGTAAAAAGTGGTACTTTTTAAAAAGTTTATATTAATGAAACTCCTTAATATTATTGTGTCTAAGAAATAAGAAAGTGCCTACAGAATGCCTTCCATCTTAGATTTCAGATAGACATTTCAAGTATCTTTATTTTTTTTTTCCCCTCAGTGTTAGGGATGGAACCCTGGGCCTCCCACATGCTAGCTTAGTGCACCGAGTCACTCTCCAGACCACAGCAAGTAACTGTACTGAAATGACCTAGTAAGAATCACTGTAAATCCACTCTTCTGAGCATCCATCAAAGAAAGTATTTTGTACACCGTGAGAGTTAACCTTGATTGGCAACTTGGCAGGATTTATAATCACTATGGAAAGAACTCTCTGGACATGTCTGTAAAGGATTATTTAGATTAGATTACACTGAAGGAAGAAAATACATCCAACATAGAGAGAAGGCACCATTCTGTGGTGGTTTGAGTAAAAATGGCCCCACAGGCTCATAAACTTGAACACTTGGTTCCCAGTTGGTGGAACTGTTTGGGAAGGATTAGGAGGTATGGGTGGCCTTCTTAGAGCTGAGAGTGTCACTAGGGGTGGGTTTTGAAGTCCTATAATTCCCAGTGCTCTCTTTCTCTTCACTTCCTACTTGTGGATTAAGATGTGAGCTCTCAGCTACTGCTCCAGAGCCACATCTACCTGCTGCCATGATCCCCCACCATGATGGTCATGGACTCTGAAATATTAAGTCACAAATAAACCATTTCTTCTACAAGTTGTCTTGGTCATGGTGTCTCTTCACAGCAACAGAAAAGTAACTAAGACACATTCCATGGGTTGGGGACCCAAACTATAGAAAAAGGGAAGTGACTCACTCATCCGTTTCATGTCTGTGGACACTGTCACCAACCTGTTCTTGCTGCCATACCTTCCCTGCCACGATTAACTATTACCTAAAACAAACCCCTCCTCAAGTTGCTTTCATCACATCTTTCGGCACAGCAACAAGACAAGTAACTAACACAGATACTTCCAGATAACCCATTCTTCTCTTCTCTTTGAGTACTTACTTTCTATTTAACTGGTTAGGTCTCTTGAGAACTGCAACTGGTTTCCTTTGTACTTCATTTTGTCTCAGAAGGCTTGTCTTCCTTTTTAACGCTGGAAAATATCGTTCTATATTCTTTTAGAAGGTAAGACAACTGTGTTAATCAGAGTGCCATCTATTAACTACCTTACTACAATAAACATTTTTTTGTTATTTTTTGCTTTTGTTTTTTGAGACAGGGTCTCTATATAGCCCTGGCTGCCCTGAACTCACTCTGTAGATCAGGCTGGCCTTGAACTCAGAGATCCACCTGCTTCTGCCTCCCTAGTGCTGGGATTAAAGGTGTGTACTACCAAGCCTGACTAACACTTTCTTGCATACAATAGGGAGAGAAACTAAACTAATTTGAACTTTTCATAAATGACTGAAAAGATGACAATCAGATTACACTTAAAAAATACCTAAGTTACTGGGTGGGAAGGTAAACCAGTGATGGAGAAATGCTACTCTAGCACTCAAGAAAAGAATCCAAGGCACACTGAGAAAGTTCTTAGGTCACTGGGGGAACTGTGACAACCCTACCCCCTCCTCTTTCTGATTTCTGGCCATGAGATGAACATTTTGTTCCACTACCATCTCCTGCCATGACCTATTTCACCAGAGGCCCAAAGCTATGAGCTCTGTTCCTTCTCAACTCCCAGCAGTAGCACCTACAAACCCCTAAAAGTAAGGCCAAAATAAACTTTACTCCTTAATTATTTCAGCTATTTACAACAATACTAAAAAGCTGACTAACACTGTATGTTAAGAATAAAGACAAATTTCCAAAACAAGTATGTGAAAAAGGTATTTTACTAACAAAGAGGGTAGAGTATAATATAATAAGGTAGAGTAGGATTTAATAAAAATCAAACACGTGAAATATCTTTTTTCTCCATATATGTAAATTATTTCCATCATATAATCCTAATTCAACCTTCCATAGTCCTATGAAGATGTCTCCAAAATCCTTAACTGTATGGACCATTTCTTATACATTACCTGCATTTTTCTACTGCTTTAAGCATGAGAAGTTCTTAATAAACATCCACTGACAATGGTTAAAAAATAAACAGTATTTAAATATTTTCTTGAATATTTAACTTCGATTTATTTCATTCTTTCTTTCTGTCTTTCTTTAGACAGGGTCTTTCTACATTTCCCTGGCTATTCTGGTACCCACTATGTAACTCACAGAGATCCACCTGTCCGTGCCTCCTAAGTGCTGAGATTAAAGGTGTGTACAATCACACCCAGCCTGTTTATTTGTTTTCCTGAGATACAGTTATACTATGTAATCCAAGCTAGACTCAGATTTACAATCCTCCAACCTCCATCTTCTAAGCATTAGGATTTTGAGGCAATCATAGCTGGCTCCATTTTTGTTTTAAACAGATTTTTTTTTAAAGATTTATTTATTTATGTTTATTGGCATGTTGTCTGCAGGTACATTTACACACCTGAAGAGGGTACAGTTATAGACAGTTGTGAGCTGCCATGTGGGTGCTGGGAATTGAACTCAGGACCTCTGGAAGAATAGCCAGGGCTTTTAACCACTGAGCCATCTCTCCAGCCCCTAAACATATCTTTATTTACTTATGTGTGTGGATGTACATGCATTTGTGTAAATGTGTGTGGAGGACAGAGGTGAATCTCAGGTAATTCTTCAATAGCTTTCCACTTTATCTTTTGAGAAAGAACCTCACTGAATATGGACCTCACCCATTTCAGACAGACTGAATGGCCAGCAAGCCCCAGGAACCCGCCTGTTTCCATCTTCCCAGTTCTCAAATTACAGGCTGTTTTATGTGGAATGAACTAAGGTCCACATGCTTACACAGCAAGTGCCATCCTGAGCCATCTCCCAGAACCCCCTTATTGGTTCTTAGAGATTATTTAGAAAGAAGGAAATGCCCAAGCATTTTCCTTAGTTATGCATATTGTGTATGAGTGTAGGTTTGTGAATATGCATGCAGGTGCTTACAGAGGCCAGAAGAAGCTGTTGGAGGCCCTGAAGTTGGAGTCACATGTGATCATAAGCTTCCTGACATAGGTGCTGGGAATTAAACTCAAGAACATGCAAGAGCAGCATGTTTTCATATCCCTGGAACAATTTCTCTAGCCCCCATTCCAAGCTTATTTTATCTTAAGTGATAGCATCAAAGACCATTTTATAGATAAATGTGAAGGGTTCCTCTATAAAATGTAATTTTTCTTATAAAGTACTTGGCATGTCGTAATCATTTGTTATAAGTTAATTCTTAACTTTCCTTATGCCAGGTACAGTGGTGAAGTCCTATCATCCAAACCTCCCTTGGCAAGTAAAGGCAGGCGGGTTCAGTTGTTCAAGTCATCTTTGATTAAACAGTGAGTTCAACTCTCCCCCAATCAAAAACAGGAGACAGAAACTAAGTTTACTAAATGTGTATATGGATGTTTCTTGTCATTGTTTCTTAAATACAGCAAAACAATTATTTATACAGTATTATAATGTAATAGGAATTACAAGTAACTAAGGGATGATGAAGTTCACAGGAGAATGATCATATTTTATATGCAAATACTAAACTGACTTTGAGCCAAGTGAACATCTAAGTATCAAAGAAGTGTCCTGGAACTAATTCCTACAGATATGGAAGGACAACTGTATTAGAGGATGAGGTATATTTATGAATGGTAAAGATCTCTACTTAGCTACTGAAATGTTTATGTTAATCCCAAAGTACTTCATCTCAAAAATAAAAACCAATCTGGGAATGGCAGCACATACCTTTAATCCTAGCATCTGGAAGGCAGAGGCAGGCCAATCTTTTTTTTTTTTTTTATTTATACAACATTCTGCTTCCATGTATATCTGCACACTAGAAGAGGGCACCTCATTAGGGATGATGGTTGTGAGCCACCATGTGGTTGCTGGGAATTGAACTCAGGACCTCTGGAAGAGCAGTCAGTACTTAACCTCTGAGCTATCTCTCTAGCCCAAGGTCAATCTTTTTGAGTCTGAGGCTAGCCTGGTTTACATACTGAGTTCCAGTACAGCTAGGGTTATATAATAGAGAGACTGTCTCAAAGATAAATAAACCAAAATAAATAAATTACATATTAAATATAAAAATCAGAGAGCATGGCATGAAGGAACATGACTGTAATTCCAGCATTTGAGAGGTGGAGGCAGGAGTCCAAAGCTAGCTTTGGTTACATGAGATTCTGATTCAAAAAGATATATTAAAAATCAGGACTGGAGCTGGGCAGTCGTGGTGCACACCTTTTTTCATCCCAGCACTCGGGAGGCAGAGGCAGGTGGATCTCTGTGAGTTCGAGGCCAGTCTGGTCTACAACAGCAAGTTCTAGGACAACTAAATCTATACAGAGAAACCCTGTCTTGAAAGATAAACAAACATAGAAAAAACAAAAAAAATCACTAACAGTAAGTGTGTGACACACACACACACACACACACACACACACACACACACACACACACACACAGGAAAATAGTATCTAGCCCAGGATTAAGCCATCATCCTACCTTGTCACTTAGAGGTGGACGATTCATAGGACTAATTCCTTTTCGAATTCCAGTTGCTTTCCTAGCAGCAAGGCCAGTGATAACTCCATAAGGACGTCTCTTTCCAGGCAATACTCTTCCTCTACGGCTCACACTAGTTTTACCAAAACCTGTAGAAGGAAAGGACAACAAAAATTTAGGAATTCAACTGCAGAGTTGATCAGCTATTTTACTTGTGAAACACAGTGTATGTGGTGATGGGGATCAAACTCACAGACTTACAGGTGCTATGTAAACATTACCCTAACATCAATTTCCCAATAGGACAGACTAAACCAACTTGTGCAATACACTAACTACTAATTTATTTGTTTTTGACACAGGCTCTTGTCTCACTACATAGTCCTGGCTGGTCTTGAAATGCTATGAAGATGGGCTTAGCCTTGACTTCATAGCAATCTTCCTGTTTTTGTCTCCCAAGTCTAGGATTACAGATGTGTGTCGTCATGTTCAGTAGTGGTCACTAATTATATGTGGCGAGTTTAATCTGAACTGAGATGGTACAGTGTTTCATTAATGATTTTGTATTTTATGTTAAAATGGGTAATATACTGAATATACTTGTCTAAACCAAATTCCTTAGTACATGGTTCGAATTTTTTTTTCTATTAGCGTTGATCTACACTAGAGTCACTAGCTCATCTTCCATTTACTAAGTTACAATTTGGTTTCTTTACTTTTAGCCTTACTCTATTCAAACTGCTTTTGCTGAAATCTTCACTAGAGTGAATGAACTTATTTTAAACTCTGCAGCATGTAACATCACTAAGTTTGCTATTCTGTTAAATAGCTCGCCAATTTATACACTTTTTAATGATTAAAAAAGCTCATTCTATACATATATGAAATCATCAAAGAACAAAATAGCCTAAATAAAAAAGCTTGCTGCATATTTTTAGTTTCAGCTATATTTAAGTTAACTCAAAAAGTATTACCACATGGTAAGCATTCCCTGTGTATTAGTTAAGCACCTAAGGGTGAACTGAACCAACTTTTCACATCAACTAAATTCATATGTTTATGTAATATTTTATAGTATATACATTAACACTACACTATGAATATTATTCCATGTTTCTTGTATCTTTTTATTATATTACTTTTAGGTATGCTACACTCAGTCTAACCAACTTCAGTTATCTGTTTTGTCTTTTTGAGAAGGGGTCTCAGGTAGTTCAGGCTGACTCTAATTTATTATCCAACAGCATGGCCTTCAACTTTCATTTCAGTTACTTCTAACATTTCTACACATCACTTCAACATATTTCTAGAAGATGAAATGCTAGGCCAAAGAATAAGGCAAGCTCTTAAGGACTTTTACTTACATTACCAAAAAAAAAAAAAAAAAAAAAAAAAAAAAAAAAAAAAAAAAACCAAATGAATGCATTTACTTGTATTTTTAGAAGCATATGGTAGAATTCCCTTTTTCTATGGTGGTGCAAGCCTTTAATACCAGCACTCAGGAGGCACAGGGGATTCAATCAGGGTCTTATTTATACTAGACAAGTGTTCTACCACTGAACTACATCCCAAGTCCTCTCCCTTCCCTCAAATAGTCCTCCTTTGCTTTCATGTCATATATATATATGTGTGTATGTACACACACACACACACACACACACACACACACACACACACACACACACGATTCTGCATATGAGAGAAAATATAGTCTTTTCCTTTTTAAAAAACTATTATATGGAATTCAGTTACAATTTGCATTATTTTCTGGAGACTTTTCTTTTCCTCTTGGTACTTGAGCTTGAACCTAGAGTCTTACAAGTAATTCTGTATTTTTAACCTTGGGATTTCTATTAAATGATACCTTCTTATTTCCAACAATAATACTTCAACTTTTTAAAATTTCCTAATGCAACAGCCAGAAATTTTCAGAGATTTAGCTAGGTAACTACTTTGATGGTGGGCAGTCTCATGTTAATTCTGATTTAGGGGAGAATATGTCTGGGATAATGAGCAGTCTCAATTTAATTGATTTTTAGGGGGAAAGTCCTTAGATGACACCTGTAACATTGTAAAGTCTCATTGTAAAAATTAAGATTAAAGTAATTTTTTTTTTTAGCCAGGAAGTGGTGGTGCAAGCCTTTAATACCAGCACTCAGGAGGCACAGGCAGGTAGGTGGATTAAGGCCAGCCTGGTCTATAGACAGCAAGGGCAACACAGAGAGACCATGGCAGGGGTGGGGGACAGAGAGAGACAGACAGACAGACAGACAGACAGACACACACACACACACACACACACACACACACAGAGAGAGAGAGAGAGAGAGAGAGAGAGAGAGAGAGAGAGAGATAGATCTTGGGGGCTAGAGGATGGTTTAGTGATTAAGAGCACTGGCTGCTATTTTATAGTTCCTCAGTTCGACCTATTTCCACGAACTGCATGGTGGCTCACAACCATCTATAGTGGGATCTGATACCCTCTTTTGAAAATAGAGGTGTACATGCAGATAGAGCACTCACATACATAAATTTCTTAAAAAATAATTTTCTTTGCTGTAGGATCTCTAAGGGGAAAGTAATAGAATCATTTCCAAGCTTATTAACTCCTGAATCTTTATGTGTGATATTCTTACCAATAATTTTGAGATCAGAGTACAAGATAGGAAAGCCTGTTATGCTATGGGATGTGTGAATCATTATTAATTTATTATCTTTCAGCTCCCACAGCTCATCCTTTACTATCTGCCTCTAATAAGAACACTGCTTTATCAGTGGGCATGACACTGTTGTCAGTAGAGGAAGCTAGGGAGAGTCTAGAGAATGAAGGAATTTTTCTTACAGGTGTCACTGTGCTTCTCGAGGTTTGTTCCTGTGCATGGGACACTAAAGAACATTCACCAGCCTTCCTGCCCCCACATTTTATACCCTCAGCAGCACTTGTCCAGTTCCCATCACCACACATCCGTAGATAACTTCCCGCTGAGTCACATTAGGACAGAAACTCAATACACTTCTCCTGCCATCCAGGAGGCTATGGCATGGTCTCACCCTCTCTAATAAGATCAATTCTTGTGTAGGGGAACTGTGTTTTGTCCAGGTATGCTCCTTCTCAGGTATTCTCAGTCCTAGAAGTATTGACTACTATTAATTTTAACAGAAAAAAAGCAATAAAGATACAAAATGACTAATTAAACCATATGTGACTTTCTTCTGGAAAGATTAAATTATGTTGTGTGAATTTGTATATAAAATCTGACTTGTCATTTTATTTGTGTCAACTACTAAAACAGCTCATGGTACTGTCAAATGCTAATTTCCATGAGAACCTAATGAGACTGATGCTTCCATCTCACTTTTGTAGGTAATGCAAGGAACAATGATCAAAGAGAAGAACAGATCCATGCTCTAAATGCAGGTGTATGTAGCTCTAAAATGGTCGATGAAAAAGTGAGCTTTGTACTAGCTGTTAGAAAATGAGCATTTGAGTAGGAAGGCAGACACAAAGAATTTCCGGTTAGTGTAACAACTACAAGACATGAATGACCACAATATATTGAGAAATGTAAGTCTAGGGGAGGGTAAAAGTGAATGGAAGTACTTGGTATAAATCATGTAAGGCTTGGAACGGACATAGTCTATGTATGACAAAGAATTCCCGATAATATTATATCAGCTTACTATTAGTATCTTAGACCCACTGGAAGAGAGGAAGAGAATGTGGTAAGACCATTTAGGATAAATTCCACACTAACACTCAAGCACAACTTGATAAAGGACTACAAGAGGAACAAAAAACTGAAATTACTACACAGGAGTGAGTTGGACTTTTATCTTGCTTCAGTTTACTTTTCAATATATATTTGATTGTTCTTTCCCCTCCCCACCTCATTCCCACTCAATCTCTCCCCCTGAAGAGTGAATTGCAAAGCAAAAAAGAAACGTTGAGAGTGAATCCATTTTTATACCATAGTTTCCAGCAGATGAAACAAACAAGACTAACAGGAATAAACCTGAGAGCAAATAATACTGTTCAGAGTCTACCCTTTAATCTCTTCCACTTCTCAATGTCAGCGTATAGAACACTGCTCCCATACTCATTATTCTTTCCACTGTGTTGTGATTTCCAGGCACAGAGGATGCTGGGAAGAAGGGTAGAGATGACAGGAGACGCTGAGTGAGCAGTACGGGCACTATGGAGATATGGTAATAAAGCCACAAGGCAGAAAGTAAGTTAATAAAAATGGGTTACTTTAAGTTCTAAGTGTAGTGATATTTTGTTTGTAATCTAATAAAGCTTGCCTGAAGATCATAGTGCAGAGCAGAGCCACTAGTTAGCCACACACCTCTAAGCCATTAGTTAGCCATAGAGGTCAGGTAGTAATGGTACATACCTTTATCCCAAAACTCAGGAGACAGAGGCAGATGGATCTCTGTGAGTTCAAGGCCACTCTGGGCTACATGAAAATAAATCAGTCTAAAAGAGAAATAGAATTCACACCTTTTATCCCAGCACTTAGGATGACATACCTTTAATCCCAGCCATTAGAGAGGAATACAAAGCAGGAGCTCAGTGCCGTCTCAAGGCAGTCTAAGGAAGGATTTCATGGAGTCAGATCGCCCATTTTGGTCTGAGGTGGGGGGTAAGAGCTAGTGGCTGGCTGCTTTGCTTCTGGCCACTTTGCTTTTCTGATCTTCTGCTTTAACCCCAATATCTGTCTCTGGGTTTTTATTATTTGTGCTATAAGAGCTAGTTAGAAACAAGCCTAAGGGGCTGGAGAGATGGCTCCAAGGTTAAGAGCACTGACTGCTCCTCCAGAGGTCCTGAGTTCAATTCCCAGCAACTACATGGTGGCTCACAACCATCTACAATGAGATCTGGTGCCCTCTTCTGGCCTGCAGGCATACATGCAGGCAGAACATTGAATACATAATAAATTTTTTAAAAATCGTAAACGAAAAAAACAAGCCTAAGTTATCGGCCAAACTTTCATAATTAATAAGAAGTCTCCATGTGATTATTTGGGAGCTGGCAGGTGGAACAGAGAAAGATCCACTTACACCATTCTTTCACTTCTCTTATCCATGAGAACTAGACTAGACATAGAAAAGTTATCTTTCTTTTGAAACCCCATACTGGTCCTTTCCATGAATTTCTTTCAGATATACATCCTTTGCTTTAATAATTTTAGGAGCCTCTGAGAAATAACTGAAGTTATGAGGCGGGAGCTTTCACTCTTATATAATGGACCCCAGAGGGTTCTCTACCCCTTTCTACCACATGACATTATCACAAGAAGTCCATGGGCATCACCCCAGAAGGCTCTCATCAGAATTTGACCCTGGTGGAACCCTGATCTAGGACTTAGACACCAGAACCAAGAAATACACTTATTAGGAGTTTATAAACTACCTAGTCCATAATAATATGTTTTAAAGCATGAACTAAGATACCGATTCTGTATTTAGGCAATTTAAATTATCACTTGTCACAGAGACTCAGGAAGAGTCTATCTGCATGAAAGAATGACAATGCCTTGATATAAATGCAGTTTTCATCTCACGTAGCCTTCAGTCTTTAGGATTCTCTACAGGTGTCCAGATAACATTTTGGTCACCTCTGTTGTTTGGTTTGATTCTACCACAAGACATTAAAGTTATTTTTACAAGTGTTCAATGAGTTTCTAAGTTAGTATTTTAGACAAGGAGTTAAAGACTTCAATTATGTTTTCCAGCCAACAAAATCATACTATGATCATCTGCCAATGGCCATCTGCTATTATTCTGTTCCCTTAAATAATGTCATTACTGATACCACAAGTGGAAATCTAAACTCTTCTCAGCCAATTGGATAGTAACAACAATCCAATAGCAGCAGCAGCTCTTCTATTTTAAGCTAGTCCGTCATCAGAGCCTAACCCAGTGCAACATCAACCATAGGAGTTGCTAAGCTTCCCCTAGATATCATTTACCTCAAGGCTCAGATGATAACCCCATAAAAGGATAATTTTTCTTATGCATCATGGATCAAATCAAATCTCATTTTATTTGTCAAATCATACTTTCTCTCAGCACAAATTTCTTATGTGAAGTCTATAATATTGTATCTTTAAAAAATTTATGTGTATGAGTGTAATTTATGTGTATGAGTGCTTTGCTCTGTGTGTGTGTGCGCGTGTGTGTGTATGCGTGCGTGCGCGTGTGTGTGTGTGTGCATGCGAGCGTGCGTGCGTGCGTGCGTGCGTGTGTGTGTGTGTGTGTGTGGTTGTGTG